CAAAGCACCCAATGGAAAAAATGGAACAATGGTATAATACGGAGCAAATAGCCAAAGCTTGACAAGTCCCGTGGGGTAGTTTGTGGGAATAACGTTAGTTTAATTTAGTTACAAAAAGGGAAAAATACAAATGTTGACTCCATATTATCCATCTTGACACACAGGTATACCAGTCTAATCAGATTTCGTGAGTTGGTGAGCACCATCTTTGTCTACTTCTTGTCGTCACTCAGTGAACAGAACTCAGCTCAAGTAATGTAAATGATGTAAAGCATCGTCGAGCCGTTTCTTAAAAATGGATAGCGTGGGAACCGAAATGACAGAAGTAGAAAGACCTTTCCGCGTTTGACAAACTCGAAAGGAAAAATAATTCCGGCCGCATTCAAGCCGACCGTATTGGTTGGCAAGTTTCAAGTTATAACCCCTCAATCATGTATTGCAGCTAAACTTCAGAAGGTCTCGACAAGAGTGACCGAAGTTTCTCAAAATCTGGAGCACCAGGATGAAGTCACCCCGTAGACGGCGATACTTTCCGCTGTACATTCCCAGGGCTTTCAGTCGCCTATGGTATTGTAGGTGGGACAACCCCTTCACATATTTCGTTGCCCGTCGTTGTGCGGTCTCCAGAGCAACCAGGTCGCATTTTAACCAAGTTTACCAAGCCTGGATCGCGTACTCTGCATGGCGCCTCACATACGCATTGTGCATTTGAGGGAAGATGGAGGGATCGAGGCTTTCGAACGACCTTTGTAACAAACCAACATGGTTCTCAGTGTTGGAAGCCTACAAGGACTGTGCCGAACAGCCGAGGTCGTCTTGGATTACCACACCAAGGTCTCGCTCTTGTGAAGCGGTATTCAGCATGTCATCTCCAAGCTTATATGCGTACATGGGCTTGTGGCTGGCATGCCTGGTTTTGCACTTGTCCGTGTTAAACGGATGTAGGTTTAGCTTTGACCATTCAGAAGCGCAGGCTAAGTCACGTTGCAACATATCGTGATCTTCCTGGCAGTCAATTGACCTCTATCTCTTGATGTCATCAGCAAAAAGCAGGAAATTTAACTTGATGACACTCGCATGGTCGCTAATGAAGAACAAGAAAAACCGCGGCCCAAACACCGACCCTTGTAAAAAACAGCATTCCACGGTAATTGGATCGGAAAATGCGCCCCGAACTCGAACCTGAAGGCTCCGCTGCAGGCGGAAGTTTCCGATCCATCTGAGGACAAGGTTCTCAACTCCGTATGACTGCAGCTTTTGGAGAAGGATGCGGTGATCTATGCGGTCGAATGCTTTGGAAAAGTGTAGGTGGATGACACCAAGTTCGGTCTCACTGTCGGGTATCTCGGTCCAACTCTCCCGGGCAAGCCGTGGGTTGGTATTACATGACTGATGATGATCGATTCCATCACTTTTAAAAGCACTGGGAGGAGAATCACTGGGCGATAGTTGGCTGGTTCTGAACGGCTACCACTTTTGAAAATCGGAGTAATGATGCCTTGCTTCCACATGCTAGGGACCTGCTGTTCGTTCAGACATCTTTGGAAAAACCTCGTTAATGGTTCAGCTATCCTCGTAGCTGCCAACTGCAGCATTTTTCGGGGTGTTGTCAACTCCTGGGGGACCATGGGTGCGCAACGACAGCAGCTTCCTCAAAATGATAGCTGAACTAAACGTGACGTGTGTAACGAATGGCATCTGGGAGAACAGGGCAGGTATGTTACAAATGCTTGAAGCACATCGGAAAATCAGGGCATATTGTAGCCGTAGAACGTTGGTTGCATCTTCTGCGGTTTGTGCACATCCATCTGCTGACACTAGCGTGGAAACACCACGTTGCACATTCAGGAGGCTATTCCCATGTCTGTACAGAAGCTCTTTGTTAACCCAAAACTTTTCCACTAGACCCCGCTGGTGTACTTTTTTGTCCTCGCGCACATGTGTGGTACAGGGATTACGATGCACAACATAGTTACTCCAGCTGTCTGGGCTAGGGTTCGCTCTATACACATGCCACGCTGCGTTTCTTACTGTCATGTGTTTTCGGGTTCTACTCCTAATGAATGATTGTGCCCTTGCAGAACGAAGGGGCTTGTTGACTGATAAGATGTAATCAGATCACTGAACTCGCCAATAAAAGCCAACAAAACACTGTCAATAGAACAGTCGTCCGGAAACTCCTAGATGGCATTTCTTACAAGTTTTGCCAGTATGTCGTAGTGGGTAATTATTCGAATCAAGTTAGTATGTACTTGTGGATACTCCGCATAATACATGAAGTGGTAAATTATATTTACGTGATCACTTCGCCCCACAGGGCTCTCCAGCCTTGGATTCTGTATCATAAGTTCTTCGTTCGTGGACACTAAATCAAGCACAGTTGGTTTATTTCCAGCTCTGAATCAGGTGGGTAAACTGACATGGCTGAAGAGCAGAATGCTTGCAATATACTCTTGCAGCTCGGCCTTAGACTGCTCGCTGGGGGATGCCGTAACTTCCAAATCATGAAGATTGTACTCACCTGAGATGAGAACAGGACTGTATCGTCCTCGTAGGATTCTTCCCACGGATAAGGCAGAAGGGTGTGGACATTGGGGGACGATAAACAACAGCCAAAAGGCAATTGACGTTACTTCTCAGTCTCAGACTGCACCAGAGTGAATCTATGATCAGCGTTTCCGGATCGGCCACCGCGTCGCAACGCGGCTTGTTGCGGCAGTATAACAGTACCCCCACCCGTCCTTGCTAGGCCGATCGTTTCGGAGAAGGGACATACCATTTATCGCAACTTCGACGTCGGTATTTGCTGAGTTCAACCAAGCTTCCTTAACGAATATGAGGTCCCAGGTGTGTGAAGCTGGACTTAGCCGCCGTTCGGCAAGTTTTTTCAGCAGACCTAGTTCATTGGTGTACGTGCAGGAAAGCTTTTATGTTTTCAACAACGCATCGTGGGATGCGCGTTCTGGGTAAAATGTTATGCCGATCGGTGAAAGGTCGGCAACTAATCATTTGTTGGGTGGGGGATTATGAAATCATCTGTGTTCGATTCATGGATCCGACCATTACGTTTTTCCTTTTGGCTTTGGTGTGTTTGCCAGTTTTGTTGGCTAGTTGATTGAAGTTATCCGAACGTACCTCGGTAAATTGTCTGCCTTAGTGGCTGCTTTCGTGTGTTTGATTAGCAGATGCTGATTTGATCCGGAGCTCGGAAAGAAGGCTGCTGCGACCTGCATACCATCCCTCCACTACCATTGCTGATACTTGTCTAGATTGAAGAACCACCTTCACAATCCTCGGACCACATCTTTTGTAGTTCGTCTATCGGTGCAGGCACAAGATTGATTACGCCCTGACGTTTTGCAGGGAGAGGGTCTCGCGAGTATACCGCCATTGCTCCTGGTCGTGACTGGCCGCTTCGCGCTCATCATGACTTCCAGCCTCGAGAACACCGTGTACAAGGATGGTCCTGGCTACGAATTCCTTCCGGTTTTCGTTTAAATATTGCTTCGCCTGTCTGCACTTGCTGCATGGAATACCCGGGAATAGGCGGATGGAACATGACCCACTTCGGAGGCGTGCTGTCGATATCAGGACAGCTTCTGCTTCATTGGCAGAACTCAGCACAACTCAGAGAAGTCTTGGTTCACCCTAGTGCTGAGCCAAAATATCAACCTGAGAGACCATCAGCTCAAACTGGCTACGCACTACAGTCGACTTGCTTGTCGACGAAACGTTTTCGCCCTCCGTATGCCCCGTACCTGGAATTCTCTTGTTATTCACCTTATCCTTACCCCTACATTAACACTATTCATAAAACGCTTAGATGAAACGCTTTCCAACTTGCATTACTTGATATAGTCCGTTCCACTCGGAGGAAGAAATAACGCAAACCTAACCATGTGCTTAGCGGCCCTCTCCGCAACGTAGCGGTGAGGATACATGCTGAAGTGTCTATGTGAGTAGTCTGGATGTACCTAAACTGGTTTAAAAAATCACATTTGTCAAATGAAGCAAAACACGAGTTAGCGTAGTCGTTTCCTTTCTTCTTTCCCACGCATTTAAGCAACTTCAACGCCACTTTCTCTTATCTCGTGTGTGCAAATCCTAATCCCACTTCAAACTTTCGTTATTCAATAGTAGATTTAAATCGGTAGATGCTTAAAATAACCATTTACTTATTCGACAATCCTTTCAATTTTGATGCTTACTCCAATTTTCCTACGGGACTTGTCAAGCACCTGCTTTTTTACCCGTGATAAATCATTGTTCATTCTTCCTGAAGTTGTTTAGCCATATCGGTGCCTGACTGTTGATCCGGCCTCCTCAGTGGTTGGGGTTTACGGGGCTGCTAGGTTTAGGGTCAACTACGCTGAATCACTTACGTACGTTCTGGCTTACGGCATGCACCTAGGTCATATTTCTTCTGCATCCGATTCTAAGTGAGCAGCTTCGTAGCAGCTTCACTTTGTGTTCCATATAATGGTTATGGAAAACAAACCAACTCATTCATAGCTACGCCTCTCACCGACACTGGCCAAGCCACCAACTTGGCTGAGTCATTCAAGGTTAGCTATCAGGTACCAGAAAATGGATCAAAGTGCGTTCGTAGGCATTTGCTTGAGTCCGCAGAGGCCCTCGAGACTCGACTGTACGAGCCGGAGTTGTGTGTTCAGAAACGACTCGTTCAGGCGTTAAAACTGCTTTTGCCCACCCTAACTGCGACATCCGGCACACAGAATAGAGTGTACGCCGCACTTGTGACCTAACGGATAGCGATTGTGCTTGATCAGTGATTGTGAACGGAATTTATCTTACCAACTCTTACGTTGTGTAAAACATTTTGTTTTTCCGACATACATTTGTACAAGACTGAAGAGGAGTTCTAGAAAACATATGTTCGCTTGTATCAACTTTTAACCGTCTAGTGGGATTAATTACTACTCTTCTATATACGTAGAGTAATATTGTCACCCATCCTGAAAAGTATACCAAATCGGTGTACATAAAGGATTGATGTTTTCATTGCACATACAGACCTGTTTACTCTATAATTCAAGTCACGGTGACTGTGGAGATCACTGTCAGAATTGTCGGTACGAAAAACTACTGCTTTCTGCCATGGGAATACAATTCCTGTATTTTGCAATCCGTTTTGGTATTTACAGCACCGTTGCCTTTGTATTCGTAAGATATGCTTCTCCACACTGTGAGAAACATTGACATTCACAAATATGAATGCGCCCGTTGATTGTCCGTGACCTCCATGTCTTCTGAAAAGGCGTCCTCTGTTGTGTGTTCAACTACGAACCGCCGTAGCTGATATCTTGTGTGTGCCCGCGTTCAACGACCGTGTTTGGTGGGAACACATTGCACTATCCTCGTCCGTCGTCGCGTTTGGTGCCAACGGCTTGTGATCAGCTATCCAGACCAAGACGGCCAGCATAACCATGAGGCATAAACTCGCCAAAGTTAAGCGCCAGACAAGTCCACCAAATGTCAAGCTAACCGCTTTTAGACCTGTGCCGAAGAGGAAGAAGGTACGTATACATGTGCATTGCGCTTGGGTACAATGTACATTTATTAGCATCTTGGTTGCGTTATTTTTGCTATTTCATTAATGCATGCTGGGAAAATATCAACAACTATGCATGACCTACAGGATAGCAAGTCAAATCAAGTCACAATTTGCTTTTCGTACCCTAATGGGTTCATTTTCAGCATTTCACATCATCATTGCGGACACCTGGATGATAATAATAATAAACATCCTTGGGTAGAACAGTGGAAAAAGCAGAACTGTTACTCCAACAAGCGCTCGCGCAGCATGTTGGTGACTTTTGCTGTGTCAACCAGTAAACGTGAGAAATAAGGCAAAACCATATGACGATACGATGACGCGCGGGAGCATAAACTACTGAATTTCGTACGAGTAGAAGAGAAAGAGACCCTTTTAGCAAGATCATTGTGAAGTGGATGAAATCGATCAGTTAATATCTTAACAGAAAATCATTGCAGGCAACAAGATGTATAGAAATGACCAAATTAACTAAAGAATCTCTAGACAATCCGCTGCATCTAGAAATGTGCTTTATAGATCGCACCAAGAAGCAGTCCAGGGAAAGTGACAGGAGAGCTGTGTAGCCAATGAGGAATAATACAAGAGGAAGAGAGAGAGATACTGAAAGCACAAGTCTGAGGACATAAAAAGAAACGTTGCTGACTTTTTGAAAATTTGTACAGACCTACGCGGACCAAGAAAGGTTCTGTGACGAAAATCGCCGAGATACTTGACAGTGGAAGACCTGGGAATGGGATTTTCTGATTCAGATTCAGATGGAACTGGAACTATAGGAAAATCCCTTGCGTGTTCCTTCTTGAGCAGATGGCTGAGCCAGGAAATGATAAGGTGCTAGGAGGTCTTGATGGATCTAAGACGAATCACCCTAACCACACCCTGGTCAACCAATTACAGCCGACGTTCCCAGCACTAGCAGTCCCGGCTGTGTAGGTCAAGTGGAGTAAGAAAGACGCAGAAAGAGAATGGAAGATAAAGGGGAAAGAAAGTCGTTTAAATGAAGGATAACACCAAAGTGTAAGGAGAATGACAGAATATGAACTCAAACTTGGAAGATGGATGTGGTCAGGAGAAGGAAAAGGTTCCGTGTTGCTACCCAAGAGCATCTAACTGACCCTCGAAACCCTTAGCCCACAATAAGTGTGGGGGAGAAAGTTATGACGGACTGCAACTTATCGCCACGAAGAAAAGAAAATATTACATCAATGCATTTAGAATCATTACGCATACGAGGTCTGGATGAAGGCCGTTCCACCAGATCTTCTAACCCACGTTGAAGTGATGAAGAATCCTGGTTAATGGGGGACATACATCCCAGCACAACCTTATCAGCATAATTACACCCTATAAAAGTGATTTGTATAGGGAGAGATTCAACATACAAGGAAAATAGAAAGCTGATAGGATCGCGGCTTGTAGAACACCCCACTCGGCACGGAGGACAGAGAATTTCTTACCGTTCAACTTGGGGAAGTGAGTACGATCTGTAAAATAGTCACGCAACAGATTACACACACCAGGGTGAACTCCATTTTCGGATAGCAGGTTTGGTAACCTTGACCTATCCAGACTTCCAAAAGCATTCGAATAATCCAGGAAGAGACCGTACGGATTTATATTTTCGATCTAATGCAGAGGCTATAGAACGAACAACATATGCCGCTGCATCCAATGTGGTGCGCTGGGGTCTATACGCAAGCTTATAGATATCGACTTCAGGAGCGGCTAAAATATTCGCGGAATAACCAGTCTTTCGAAAAGTTTTAGGAGCACAAATGTACTTGTGATTGGGGCGATAATTTTGAGATCCGGTTTTTGGTACTGGGGTGATATTGGCCGTTCTCCAAATGTCCGGGGTCACACCCGTAGTGATGCAATTGTTAAAGAGGTCCGTTAGACTTCTAAGCAAAATCAAAATCCGAAAGTCCTGACATGGAACGCTGTGTATCATTTATCCCCTAGATGCAAGTCAAGTAGTCTTTCGAGTGTCGCGATTTCTGATCCATTCATCCCGTACGCTGGTAGTATATTCCCACGTGAATAGATTCGAAGAGAGTAAAAATGCTTTCTACAATCCAGTCTGGGGTATTGAGTTGCAAATTTCAATTCGTGGCCTCGACATTGCTTGTAAGGGGCTACGGCTAGCGGTGACTCATATGGACGATCGCTATCTGTTAGTATCCGATATGTCAGTGAGACGTCCCGGGAGCCGCCCGTATTCTGAGGAGAACATACCTACCGAACGTAGCCGTGGTTCATAGTTTAGACGGATAGTCCACGTGTTGCCTTGGTACCCTGTGTGCACCAATGGACGGCCAGCCATCCCATTTGAGCACGGTTTTGATCACTCGCCGAGGCAAGAAGAACAGGAGTAATATGTTTAAATAGGTTGTTAGATATCATTCTGCATCATTCACACCCTCAGTCTATATATTTTAGTGAAAGCGTACTTGCAATGAGCACGAGTGACCGATACGCTGCGGCAGGTTAACCATTTTCGGTGCCCTTGGCCGTCCCACTGAAGCACATTTAGGACGGATTTCGGTCACGAACAATTAATTTCAGTTCGGCCTTTCAGTTGTAGTATTTCATTCTTATTATGTTGGCAACGATGTACGCTTATCGTTGACGGTATTCGCAACTAGGAAGAATGTATTTATGGTACGTGCACTAGAAAAACTTTTCCGAATGAGCAAAATTCCTCCGAAAGGTGGCATAAAAATCACTCACTCCAAAGGGTATTTTTCGTTCACCGGTATTAGGTGGATAGCTCTTCTTGGGGCTGCTCCAAGAGACTAATCTCCACCGCCAACCGTGGACACCAGGCCTGAACCGTATACTTAGTATGGGAGTGAGTATACGGGTTAGTCAGAAGTGGTAATAACCGTCGCTCAAATGTGCCTGAAGGTCGCCTCAATAGCCTCCAGTTCAACTTAGCCACATTTGTTGCTTTCGAACATAAAAGTGAATTGGTCAACGTTTCGAGCAATGGCAAGTAAGTGTCTTTCATTAATCACATGTTGTAGAAAAGGGCTGCCGCAGTAGATACGGGCTATTGAAGTTGGTGCGCAGATGGCACTTGGCAGGTTTCAGCGGAAGTTAATTCATTTCTGCTTGGGCCTCTAATTTTTTGCAACATCTTTACATCCGTTATTCGTCATAAACGTGGAAGGTATATTTAATGAGTAGCAGTGTGATTTATTGTGTTTCTGAGAAGAGTCATCGCAACTAGACGCAGCCAGACAGTAACCACACATCCAGGAATCCGCTTGACAGCCGCTTCATCCTATTGGGACTCGCCAGTAGCGCGCAACCCCCGATTCATGCTGTACTCTAGACCATCACCTTACGTGTCAGAAACTTATGCCACAGAGCCAGTGGCATAATTCGCTGGCCCCTAAGTCGATGGGTTAGAATCCAGCAGGATTCCGCGCATGTGCGTTACTGGCGAGTCCCAATAGGAGGAAGCGGCTGTAAAGCGGATTCCGGCATGTGTGTTGGCTGTCTGACCGAGTCTAACTGCGATGAATATTCTCAAAGCAGGTTTAATTATACTTCTTCTTGGAGTGGCTGCGTCGTGTACAGCAGTTCTTTGCAGAGTAACTATAAACTGACTAGCATACAATACTCGCAAGCTTGTCTTTGGTTATGCCCACTCTGTGCTACCACGAATCAACCTCACCGATACACTGCTCAATCGAATTGAGTAATCCCTTTTATGGATTCACTCGTAGCTCCAAGCATAAAATTCGATGTCAGGCAGCTTTCAAGTTAACAGCTACCTGTGCTTGTTTTGCTTTTCCGTTTCAGCCTGCAGTTGGCCGATTCGTTCACGGTTTTTCGCTGTTCTACACCTTGCGTGTAACCGGTTTGTTACTTAGATGTTTGGTTCTACAATAAATGAATGCTCTGATTACAGAAGTGTAGTAGAAGGATTTGAATGATATAGGTAGAAATTCGTCACATCTAGACTCACTCAGACAGCCGCCACACACCCGGAAAAGCACTGTACGCGCGTTTCATCCTTTCGGGAATCATCAGCGGTGCGCATTCCATCGGACCCTTGGTAAGGCTCGAACCCGCAACTCGACTGTTGACAGTCCGTGGTTGAGACCACTGAGCTCGTCGCTTGGTGAGGGGGCTACCCTGTCCTCTGCACGGTAGTAACGTGTAAGTCAGTGGATAGTGAGCGGCGCTATATCACATCTAGTAATTTATTCACATTGGTCGTTTCCGTCCCCCGTAGCTCAGTGGTCTCAACCACGGACAGACAACAGTCGAGTTGCGGGTTCGAGCCCTACTAAGGGTCCGATGGAATGTGCACCGCTGATGATTCCCGCAAGGAGGAAACGCGCGTAAAGTGTATTTCCGGGCGTGTGGCGGCTGTCTGAGTGAGTCTAGGTGTGACGAATTTCTACCTATAAATAAATGCTCTATTTGTATCCCAAATTCATTGATAAGTTCTGCTACAGCGGAACATATGGGGATGTAAAAATTAGTGTTAACATCCGAGTAGCGTAAAATGCTCCCTCGAAACTGTTAGGTTTTATCGTGCCTGATCATCAGAACACCGTGGCTGCATTCCGTTTCCTTTCGGCCGAAAAAGTAATGCGAATGGGTAAGGCGTTTGCAATGCTCTTCTTAGGTGTTGGCAGCATTTTCCTCAATGTTTCGCAGTCAGATTGCCCATCCGCATATACCGCTATAAAATGTTTGCGCACTTTATGACCAGCTTTCTATATGGGTCAATATGAGGTGGGCTGTAGATGACATGGTCCATTGTCTGCTTTTCCGTTGCACTGGAACAGATGGTAGAATCGGTCACAATTTGATAAAGAAGCTTCAATGCAAGGGTCGGACCGTTGATTCCAATGGCCCAGATTCCTACCCTGGTCGATCGTTAACCATCTAACACCTGTTCAGGTAATCGTTTGCCCCAACT